GAGCGATGAATCAAATCGAAACCGTATTTCTTTGTCTCACCGTTGGTCTGGCATGCAAAAGGCAATTAATAAATTCTGTGGTTTTCTTGAACAACTTCAACTGAGGCAACAAAGTGGAACAACTGAGGCAGGCATGGTAAAATTTATTTGTGTTATTAAATATCAATTTTCTTTTGTAAATGTATACTTGTTATTGAAATGTTTGTAATTTTTTTTTTGTAGGTTGCTGAAGCGAAGCGGATGTATCATGCAATACAGAAAAAACACTTCACATTTGATACATGTTGGGATATTTTGCGCCGAAGTTGTAAGTGGGATGAATTTCGATCACAACCCAAAAGAAGCACGGAACATGTTGATCCATCTTCGAATCCACCAACTGAATATGACGCATTTCAATCCAACCAGAATAATGCAGTGCACGAACAACCATCTAATACATCAACACGATCAATTGGTACTAAGGCAGCGAAAGAGAAGTTAAAGAATCAAACAATGCACGATAGTAGATTTGATGAAATGGCTGCCAACCAATCCAAAATTGTTGAAGTGTTATCAACTATCTCCGCTAGAACTATTGAGCGAGATGAACAAAAGGCGATAGACCGTGAGCAGAAGGCTGCAGAGCGTCAAAAAAGGGCCGAAGATAGGGAGGAGCAACTAAAACTTCTATCTATGATAAATGAAAGAGAACAACGAAATGAAGATCATAAAATAATGTCAATGGACATGACAATTTTAAATCCTATGCAAAGGGCGTACTACGAAGATCTTCAACGACAGATTTTATTTCGAACAACTAATAGATTGCCCTGAAAGGGTCTGTATTAGTGGGTTTCATCTATTGGTTTTATTATTTAAAAATAGTAGTATATAACTTGTATTGGTTAGTTTTATTGGAATTATTAATGTGATAAGTAATTATGTAATCACAATTTTATTAAATGGAACATAATGATTTATGGAACATCATATTTCAAGTTCAATGTGGATTTATGGATATTTCCTATTCATTTCTTTTTTAACTAAACAATACATAAGAAACAACAAGAGCAAGGCATAAAAGAACCTGCAAGAATAGAGCAAATCATCAGAAACATCATATTTGAAGTTCAATGTGGATTTATGGATTTTTGCCATAGTTTTTGCCATATTTAAAGTTCAGATTTTATGGATTTTATGGATTTTTATTAAACATCACATTTTATGAAACATCAAATTTTATGAATTTTTGCCATATTTGAAGTTTAATGTGTAATTGTTGCCATGTTTTTTTTTGGGAGATCTTTGGTCTGTAGTTCAATGTGGATTTTCTTTAATTAATCTCGTCTTCTTTAAAATGATATTTCAAGTGAAGTCCATTGACTACTATAGCATGATTTATACCAGAAAATCATAACTGAATAATGACCTTTTTGTAGCATTTTCAGAATGTACATAATCATGTCCTTTGTCAAATAGGCATTAAAATGAAAAACTACAATATGAAGTGGTAATAACTGAATAGGCCAATGTCATAACTGAATAGGTTTTAAATAACCTCGTCCTCTTTAACAAATTGACCCAACAAAAGGTTATTAAAATAACAAAATACAAAACCATGCAAATACATAATGTCAAACACATCAACAGTCATTATTTGGTGGTGGTGGTGGTGGTGGTGGAGGAGGGAAATAGTTATGGTATATGTCATTTACGCGATGCTCAATCCTATCTATGCAATTGTTTGCCACTTCATGACGTCTGTCAATGTCCACACGGAAGTCACAAATTGTTGAATTAATGAATTTTGCGCAGTGGCAAATGTATCAAACTGAGTACCCAACGAATTGACCTGATTAGCCATTTGATGTTCCCATTGAACGCATTGATTACAACGTTGTTCTTCCATGGCCAAAAACTCAGTCCAATATTGAGGTTGTTCAGTTGATGGCATCACATTGGCAGGAGCATCTTCTGGAGCATCATCTGGTGGGACTTTATCTTCTGAATCTTCTGGAGCATTAGCACTTCCCATTAAATTGGAGGTTGCACTAGCACGGGTCGCTGTATACTGATTAATGGGTGAACGGATTTTGATCTCCATTTCATCTACAAGGCGAACCCTAAAATGTTTGAAAATTTTTGTCAAGAGTGCCCCAAACAGTAATGACCGGCCCGTGAATTGAGCTTGATTTGCGAACATCATTTCTTTCATAATTATGTAACACACATCTAACTTATGGCCAACTTCAAAACAGTATAACAAATAGGCATTAAAATATAGGATCGCATCATGATGTCCTTTTTTCAGAGTGACATTTTCTACAATCCACCGTGGAAAATCCGAAGATAAGGTTTTAAATGTCTTGCTTGTAAACTAGTCCCAGTAAATCTGTTCTGACAAATAGTAGTATATACATCAGTAGCATTACCAACAATATTGGCTAACTCAGCCTCACTCTGAAAATGGATATTTTCATCACCTACCTCAACTCCAATAATGCTTGCTAAAGTTGGAATATCAAACTGTATACCCTTTCCTTTCACATATGATAAAAGAGTAAAATTTCCATCTTCTTCCTGAGTACCTCTTAGGTGAACATAAAATAGAGATATCAGTCGTGGATATACCTTTTGGGATAAATTAATTAAATTTAGCCATCCCATTGCTTCAAGTTTACTAACTAATAGTGCATCATATTGAGGTGGTAGATTTACCGTCCTCCCTGTTACAATAGGTCGGCTGGAGAAGTTTGAAAAGGCTAGTTCATGACTTTCATTGAGTAAATTATCAGTAGGATATGACTGATTTTGAGGCTGTTGTTCTTGGCGTCGTGGAGGGTTGGAACTTTCACTAACTTGTGGTCTCGCTCTTTTAGTTCTAGGTATGATGTCAATATCTGTTAAATTTAAATGAATATGTGTTATGTATGAAAGCTGAATTACAGTTGGCTTGGTGTTTTTCTGGTGTTATGCTGAATATAAATATAGAATTCAAACATGATCTTAAAATGAACTTAGAATTCAAATGAATATAGTTTTAATATTACAATGGATATTAAAATGGAAAAACATGAAAGCATTTAGTATGCATACTAATTGGTTTTGCATACTAATGGAAAATGCATACTAATAAAGTGCATACTGAAATGGAAAGCATTTTTATGCAGTGTTTTTACTTCATGTTATGCAGTAATTGGTGTATGCTTAGAATGGCACATTAATTTTTATATTATAGTGTTTTAATATTAGACAAAATATTAAAGTGTTTTTACTTCATGTCATTTTTATATTGAAGTGCATACTAATTGGTGTATGCTTAATGGCACATTAATTTTTACTTCATGTTATGCAGTGTTTGTTGTTCAGAAGTGTATACTGAAGCTAAAAATCATCATATGCTAGTGAATGTGTTCTGTATCACAGAAGTAAATTTTTAAAATATTGAACATGAATGTAGTTTGATTAAAACATGAATTTTATGCTCTTGAGAAGGTTAAAGTTGAACAAATAAAGCATGAACACTGAAAGGCAAAAAAAATAAATAATAACAAAGGGCCGGTTGACCAACTGGTTGACCCGTGCCATGCAACCTACTCTGTTTTGGATGCTGCCTTCTTGTTCCTACTGATGTTAGCTTTCTTGATTCAGATGGTTTGCCTTGCTGATTCTGTGGATTCGCACTTACAATATAGTGAATATGCAGAGTTTGGGATTAGAATTTGGTTAAGCCGAATTTGAAGGTGGTGGTGGAGGGAATACAGTGAATGTGTTCTTATAGAGGCAATCTGTGGGCAGAGGTATTCAGCGAATAGAGTGAATTTTTTGATGACAAGTTTGTATACAATCTTGAGCTGATACAGAGGGTGAATTATTGAGGTAGGTGGTGAGGAAATTAATACTCAACAACCGTGGTGTGTGTAAAATGAGGCATGGTAGGTGGAATGAATTCAATGAATGGTAGGTGGTGTGTGTAAAATGAATGGTAGGTGGTTCAAACGTATGCAGTATCTGTAGTATGCCATCAATGTAGGTGGAATGCATTTATTCACTGACTAAATGAATGACAACATTATTAAGTATTTTTTAACTCTGTATGTTGAATGCATTTCAACTGAGGCAATAAATGAATGACAAGATCAACATCAGTAAATGAATGGCACATCAATAAATTTGTATAAATTTGTATATGCACAAATAATGATTATGTAGTAATTTAAGACATTATTATTAAATTATGATTATGCAGATGAACATCAGTAATTTAAGACATTATGATTATGCACATGAACATCAATAATTTAAAACATTATAATTATGCATATGAACATCAGTAATTTAAGACATTATTATTAAATTATCATTTAAGACATGATTATTAAATGTGCATAAATGGATGTGGTATTATCATTTGTGGCACATCAATACTGAATTAAACACAGAATTTAAGGCATGATGATTAAATTTATGTGGTATTATCATTTGTAACTAATTAAGACATGATTATTATCATTTGTAATTCTCATGAATTGAACACAGAACAATTCTGAATATTAAAAATTGGATCATTACAACAGCACATCATCACATAACTTCTGAATTACTTGGTTAATATAGTGCATCATAATGAAGATTACAAACAAGACAACCTTCCATTCCAAAACTATAAACAAAATTACATGTATTGATGTGGTGAATTTAGTGTTCACCATGAAGATGCCACATATGTTCTACTAAATCATTACGGAGGGCATGATATGCATCCTCATCTCTAATACCTAAATGACGAGACAAAAATGATTGGAAGTCATTGGTAGGAGTAGAGGAAAGTTGCACTGGTGTGTTGTTTGATGAAATTTCATAATCGAAATCAAGGTGCTCCTCCCTCTCATCTTCGACAATCATATTATGTAATATAATGCAACTCTTCATTATGTTGGCAAGCATTTTCGGATCCTAAAAGCGTACAACACCACCTATAATTGCGAATCGAGATTGAAAGACTCCGAATGCCCGCTCTACATCTTTCCTGGAAGACTCTTCATCATTGCAAAATGTTGTATCTTTGCTCCTTGGGGAGAAGAAATTGTTCGAACCAATGTTGCCCATTGAGGGTATATACCATCAGCAAGGTAATAGCCCATATCATAACTATGTCCATTGATAGTGTAATGGACAGGGGGAGCTTTACCTTGCGTAAGATTAGAAAACAAAGGCAATCGGTCCAACACATTCAAGTCATTGTGTGAGCCAGGCATTCCAAAAAATGGATGCCAAATCCATAAGTCATAAGATGCTACTGCTTCAAGAATAATGGTTGGCTTTTTTTGATGGCCTACATATTGACCTTGCCATGCCTTTGGACAATTTTTCCACTCCCAATGCATGCAATCTAAACTTCCCAACATACCAGAAAACCCCTGAACCTCTCCAATAGCAAGTAATCTAGCAATGTCAATTGGTGTCGGAGATCTCAGATATTCTACTCCAAAGATTTCAATCACTGAATTACAAAATTGTTGCAAACTTTGAATTGTAGTGCTTTCCCCGATACGTATGTAATCATCAACTGCATCTTCTGCGACACCACATGACAATATTCTCATCGCTAAAGTCATTTTTTGTAGGAGAGATAATCTAACTACATGAGCTGCATCTTGTTTTTGAACAAAATATGAATTGTGTGCTCGGATTGCATTCAAAATTCGCAGATACAAAGGACGACGCATTCGAAAACGTCTCTGAAATATTGTAGGTGAATACACTGGTGTAGACACCCCATTTTTGACCGTCCTCAAGACTTGGACGTCACCGGTGGGGACACTCGGTGATTATCCATGTTCATGTTCGTTTTGAGTTCCCGGAGGCCTTGGTTGCGCGCCTTGCCTCAAGATCTCTCAACTTGTTCATCTTGCGTTTGGTTTTGCACCAAATACTTGTGTTTTTGCTTTAAGGGGTAGGGAATGGCTTGTTGGCCATCCCCACACCCCATCGGCCTTCCTTTTGCATCACCGGCCATTAATTGCTGACACCGGCCATGGTTTCTTAATACCAATGGCCGGTCGGCACTCTATATTGCCGGCCGGTTATCTGTTTGGCCGGCAACCTCCTTTTTTGGCTAGTAACACCTTTTTGCCTTCTTTAGGCATAGTGCATGCCAGCTGTGCCAGCTGGAATACACCAAACCTACCCTGGGGCTTACATGTGGCTGTTTTGCCCCTTTTGCCCCCTTTCGGTCAAAGCTTCTTGAGGAAGCTTGACCCTTTGTCAAAGCTTCCTCAAGAAGCTTGGCCAGCTGTCTTAGCTTCCTCAAGAAGCCTTGACCTCCTTGCCCCCTTTGCCCCCTTTTACTTAGCTTCTTTGAGAAGCTTAGAACCATTTCTTTTGCCTATAGAAGGACCTCTCCTCCTCCATTGTAAAGGGTTAGCAAAAAAACAAAAAAGACAGAGCTTATACATATATTCTGATATATATATCCTCTCTCTCTCTATATTTCCCTCTCTCTCCTCTCTTGTGTGTGTTTTGTGGCCTAAAAGTGTATTTTTACCTTAGTTTTGCACTAAAACACACACCATCACACCTTACAATGGCATAACATGATAGCAGTAAGTCCCCCATTTAGTAGTGAATGTTGTCTTCTCTTTGTCTTCAGGTGCCACGGAGATCTGATTATACCCTAAAAACCCATCCATGAATGAAAGCAGAGCATGACCTGCAGTGAAATCTATCAATTCATCAAGTGTGGCAATGAGAAGTCATCTTTAGAGCTAGCTTTAATCAAATCTCTGAAATCAACACAAACTCTAATCATGCCATCATTCTTTGGAACCGGTACGATATTTGGCAACCATATAGTATATTTTGACACAATCAGAAACCCTACATTGATTTTCTTGGTGACCTTCTCCTTAATCTTTAATGCCCAGTCTAGCCAAATTCTATGGAGCTTCTGCTTAACAGGTCTGGCCTGGGCATCAAGAGGGATCCTGTGCTGGACAATTTCAAGATCGATTTCAGGCATATCATGAGCCTCACATTCCCCTGTATGGAGATTCCATAATGCACTTTGCTTCATTTTCCTCCACGCACAACTTCTGTATTCCCAAATGACCCCTTCTACACAACTTGTCTCCACAGATGATGAATTGACTGGCCAGACGTCGTATCCCCCTTTTGTCCTTAGCATTTACCCCTTATGAATATACTTCTTTCTTTAGAAAATTCCAAATGTCAAAATACCAAGGACCTTCATCTTGAACTCCTTTCGTCACAGCAATCGTCTTGTATGTCGTTGTGTATCTCTACTCTATGATAATCAGACACATCTTCACCCCAATCGGTATGTCCACCATTGAAGCTAAGGTTGCCAAGGCATCAGCGAACTTATTGTTCTCCCTCAGAAAATGTGTAAATGCCAATCGCTGAAACCTCAGAATTAACGTATCCAGGGTATGATGATAGACTTTCATTTTCTTTTCCTTCACTTTCCAATCCCCATTGGTTTGAGACACAACTAGGTTTGAATCTCCAATCATATCCAATCTTATTACCTCTAGTTCTAGGGCAACTTCCAGTCCAACTATGCACGCCTTATATGCTGCCTAATTGTTGGAACTTTAAACCAAAGCATGAAGGACAGAAGGACATGGGAGTTGTTGGGTCCCATGAGCAACACTCCTATCCCGTATCCATATTGATTGGCAGCCCCATCAAAATACAACTTCTAAGTGTCTTCTTCAAATTACAAGATCTCTTTATCCAGGAATTCGTTCTCCCCGTCTTCTCCTCCATTAATTAGGTGATTAGCCAAAAACTTTACTATAGCTCTCCCTTTGACAGATTTGCCAGTGACATATTGAAGATCGAACTCATATAAGCAAAAACAGCCATCGAGCTAGCCTACCAATAAGTGCTAGTTTCTCAAACAGATATTTGGTGGGATCTAATCTTGAAACCAGGATTACCAAGTGTGCTAACAAGTAATGCCTTAACTTCTTTATGGCCCAAACCAAGGCTAGACAAGCCTTTTCCAAAAGGGTGTAACGGGTCTCATATTCCAATATTTTCTTACTTAGATAGTATATGGCCTTTTCTACTTTCTCTTCCG